AAAAAAAAAAAAAAGTTTTTTTTAAAGATTGATGGGGAAACACATATGTTGTCGGAGGGTGTGTACAAGGAAACAAAGACTCTGCGAAAGTCATTTCAGAAAGGTTGATGTCTATGAGCCACTACGTCCACTTTTAAGAACTTCCCTAACGATGAACACTGTGTAATGTATAGGATTGCAGAGTCACTATGTTGCACACCTGAAACTACTGTGTCAACTATACTTCGATTAAAAAAAAATTTCCCTAATGAAAACAAATTCTTTAATGAAATAATCAGGGATTTTGAACAAAGACTTGTGTAAATATGTTTAACTCAGCATTATTGATATAAGTAGTGAGAAGCAACCTAAATATCCAACAACTGAGGTATGGTTAACTGAACAAATAATAGGACCATTTTATGTCGCCATTAAAAGTGATTTAAAAAATAGTATTTAATGATATTGCAAAGTACCTACAATATAAATTGTCGAAAAAGGCAAGATATTATAAATCTGTTTTAAAAAAATATAAATGTGTGTGTGTGTGTGTGTGTGTTAGGGATCCTTGTTGCTCAAGAAAATTCTTAGCTGCTATTCCTTCCCTGGAACTCACTGCATGAGCTGCCCATATGAGAAACAGCTCCATCTGTCCCTTGTGACTTTCCATCTGGGGCTCACATTGAAAACTGCTGTTTGTTTCTCTGTCCGTGACACCTTCATCCACATGGTGTCTCCCTGACTGGTAGATGCACGAGCTTCTCCCTGTACCTCAGTTTCAGGGACTTGGGGGATAGCTGCCTATATCTCTGAGGTGCCTCCCAGGGTTCCCCAGAATGACTTTTGTGTATCTCAAACATACCCTGAAAGTTTTGTAAAAATACTCCTGGAGTTGTTCTGTGATGCAGTAACAGACAGGCAGGCAGAGAACTAATTTTAACCACGCTGAAAAAAGGACTTGAGGGACACATACTAAATATAAATGATGGCTATCTGGGTGATGGCATTATTTCCTTTCTGGAATAGGCCTATTTTTCTCAATTTTCCATTTCAGCTGCAATGATCATGTGCAATTTCTATAAAGATGAACAAGGATATTTTTATATTTTAAAAACCGAAACTAACTCAATAAATAAATAAAAATCACCCTAAGTTACCAGCAGGGGGAGTGTGTGTCCAGTGCCTGCTGTTGGCAAAGTCGTGGGGCAGCGTACCTGGCGGAGGTTGGAGGGGTTGCCTGTTCAGAGACTCGGGCCCTGTACCTGTTCGCTCATGGTGTTGATCCCATCCGGCCCTAGGAGAGACACTGCCTGCTTCACCAGGTCCGTCCGCCCACAGTTCAGCATCCGGAAACCCAGGTCCTGTTTAAACTTGGCTTCGATGGCCACAGCGTCCAGCTTCCGAGAAGCACAAAAGCAGTCGTCGGCCCTAAGGAAGGGAGAGACGATCAGTGAGGTGCAGTGGCTTCCCCAGGAACTGGTCCTTGAGGACCAGTGAGAGTTAGAAAGCACCAAGGATCCTTTGCCTTTGTTTTTCATGTCAACTGCCTGTTCCTAGGCTCCAATTAAAATCTGGATGTCTCGATCCTTTGTCCTTTATAACTGCTGCTGATCTGTCTTCCTCTTTGCTTCCACAGCATACTGAGCTAAGCATGGTGATAGCTAATATTTACTGAATGTGTACTGTGGGCTAGGCCCTCTGCTAAACTCTTCACACGAATCCGTTTGTTCAATCCCCACACAACCTCAAAAGGCAAGTACTATCACTACCCCCTCTTTAAACCCTGGGGAAACAGACATAGATAAAGGAGTTGCCCAGGGCTACAAAGCCAACAAGCTGGAGTAAACACTGTCCCAGAACCTCCTTTCATCCCCTCCCCTTGCTAATTCAGAGAGTAGAAACTGAGGAAAGGAGCCAGATGTTCAAAATTCCTGGTTCTGCTTCTCCCTAAGCCAGTTTGTGGCACAAGGGAGGGCACAAGCCCCTCCCTTACGTTTGTGAGGGAACTACCTTCTTTTTTATCGTTGGAGGAAATGAGAGGGGCTACTGTTCCAGAAAGTTTATGGCACCGAGGCTCCCGTTCATCAGTAAGGCTAGGAGCTGGGGGAGAGCATTTGAAGGCCGAACCACAAAGGGAGCCTCAGGAAGTGGGGCGGATAGGTATGTGCTTGACTGTTCATTGAGTTTCTGATATATCATTCGTCTCTTCTGGCAGAGGAACCTTGGGCAGAAGTCTACCCTGAAATATAAACCCAGCTGTAGGAGACACAAGGGCTTGGACAGGAGACCATAAGAATTTGCTTCTGGCCACCAGGGGGAGCTGATACAGTGAAGATAGAAACCAGAGTAAAAGACTGGAAGCTTGGTGTTGATGTGGGGTCTAATCTGCATGCCCGCCTGAGCAGCTGGGTGTCAGGCTAGGGCTCCAACAGCCTATTTGTACAAGCCCAGTTGCCCAGGACCCTGGACTCCGGGGTTAAGACCTTTTCATGGCAGGCAGGGGAGCCAAGACCACCCAACACTGTCGGAGGACTTTCTCGGCACGCTTGAAGGCTCCCCAGGTGGTGGGAGAGGACTAAAGGACCCTGGGCCTCAGCATCCAAGATGCAATCCCCTAGGGCACAGAATGGAGCTATGCCATAAGGCATGGTACATGGGGCTTTGGACGTGGGACTCTTACAGCGAGGGTGGCTAGATTTAGTAAATCGAAGTGTGCCATAGCAAATGCGGTGTGGAACAAATCTACACTAAAACACTGCTTATTTGAAATTGAAAGTAAATGGTTTTTTTTTTTTTTTTTTGACTTGGGAAAGGGCAGAGCCATCTGTCATGATTTGAAAAGAGTCTGAGGACTTAAAAACTGAGAACAAACTGAGGGTTGATAGGGGGTGGGAGGGAGGGGAGGGTAGGCGATGGGTATTGAAGAGGACATCTTTTGGGATGAGCACTGGGGGTGTTGTATGGAAACCAATTTGACAATAAATTTCATATATTAAAAAAAAAAATGAAAAGAGTCTGAGGAGAGACCATGGATCCCAGCATCTCCAGAGTTAGAGGAGAAACCCCAAGTGGGGTGGCAGGCTTCATCTGAGTTCCCTAAAAAAGTGGTTAAGAAAGAAGCTTCAGGCCAAATAGACAAGACAGAGCAAAGCGGGTGAGGGCAAGGTGCTGGGGCATACAGCAGAGGCTTCTGGAGGGGGAAAGGTGGGTGTTTGCATGTGTTGTGTTGACATGTCTGGAGCCTTGAATGGGTCAGGTGCATGTGCAGATCTTGGGGAGGTATCAGATTTGACTAATTGTAAGGAAAACTTTTCTTCGAAAAGACCATTACCTAGTTCAGGAAGAGGTTGGTTTGTGAACTCAAGAGCCTCCTTCTTAAGAGCAAAGATGCTATGAATTGTCATTGTCAGTGAATTTGCAATCTCCTCTCTCCTGTCTGCGTTGAAGTCCCTTCTGCTATCCTCCATGCTTGACTGATTCTCTCAAACAAGCCTTTTGTTTTTTCTCTGGAGTCAAGCTGAATTCCACGTGACTGGCTAAATGTAACTGAGCACCTACTGTGTGGGGGCACCATGGCAGGGGGCTAGGAGGTGGAAGACACAGACCCCGCCCCGTGTTCCCCGAGCGTCCAGACTCATAAACCAATAATTCCAAGAACATCAGGACAAGTGTTTACCAGCTACTGAGGTCCTTGATTTTAATTAGAAAGAGACAAATGGCAAGAAAATTACTGTAGCAAAGATGATGATAATTGTTATTATAGGAAGCTAATGTTTACTGAATTCTTGCTTTTGAAATCTAAGTTCTTTCCATGTATTAGGTCATACAATCCTCACGACAAGCCCATGACATAGGGGCCCCATTCTAGAGGTGAGAAACCTGCCCAAGGTTCATCACGACAAGCCCATGACATAGGGGCCCCATTCTAGAGGTGAGAAACCTGCCCAAGGTTGACCAGTGATCTGACACCCCAGTCTGACCTTGCTCGGTGGGACCTGGCACTTTTCCGTTGTGCTGGTGTGCCCACATATAGAGGTGCCTTCTGTTTTTTTTTCAAGTGTTTATTTTTGAGAGACAGAGACACAGACAGAGCAAGAACACAAGTGAGGGAGGGGCAGAGAGGGAGGGAGACACAGAATCCGAAGCAGGCTGCAGGCTCTGAGCTGTCAGCGCAGAGCCCAGCGTGGGGCTCAAACCCATGAACTGCAAGATCATGACGACCTGAGCTGAAGTCAGACATTTTATCCAACTGAGCCCCCCCAGGTGCCCCTATACAACTGCCTTCTTGAGCGCATCTCCTGGATGTCTCCCAGGGCCCTCACATTTAGTATTCCAAAATGCAACTTGTTCTTAACACGTCCACCCCCTGCCCTCCCAACCTGTCCCCCAGTCGTCCTGTCTCCATGAATGGCACCATTGTCCGCCCAGGTGCTCAGGCCAGAACCTTCTCCCACGCTCATGTCCATTCCATCAGCCGTTGATTTTGCCACCCAAATCCCAAATCCGTCCACTGCCCTCCAGCTCCACTGCCCACATACTGGTTCCAAACCCCAGCCTCTCTCGTCTAGTAGTGCAGTGGCCTCCTCACTGGTCTGTCACTTCTATTCTTTTTGCCGTCCAAACCAGTCTCTTACACAAGGCAAAAGTGAGCTTAAACTGTAAATAAAACTGTGTTATGCCTCTGCTTAAATAAGACCTTCCAATGCCTTCCCATGTACTGAGAATAGAATCCAGCTCCCCCAGGATGGCCCACAGGACTCTGCAGGGGTGGGGCCTGCCCTGCTCTCCCACCCTTCCTTTGGCAGGGGCCACTCTCCACTGGCCAATCTCTCTCCTGACTCGAGGACTTTATTCTTGCCCTTCCCCCTCCTGGCCCCTTCTCACCCCTCAAATAGGAGCCTGAATGTCACGTCCAAAGGAAGCCTTCTATAACAATTTCATCCTTCCTTTTGTTAGTACCTTTTACAATCTGTGACTATTCATTCTATCTATCTATCTATCTATCTATCTATCTATCATCTATCTTCTTATTTCTTTTCTCCATGAGGCTGTCAGCCTCCTGGGGGCAGGACCACATCTATCTTATGCCTGTGTTATGTGCTTAAAGCATGTGGTATTAACTGATAGGTAAGCCATGCACGGCCTGCCCTTTATTTGTGAGAGCAGGCCCCAGGAAACACCTGTTTTTCAAGAATTCCTCAGTCATACAAAGTAAGTAACGATTCTGGTTACTGAATTTTACTGGCTAAAGCAGGTAAGAAACATCTTCTATAAAGGTTTCTGTTCAACTGGTTTGTTAGAGAATTAAACTCTGCCAAATTTAAATTCCTGCAGCATTCCTGTAAACACGACTCGGAGCTCGATTTACTGTCTCTGGAAAGCCTCGGAAGGATCTACCACCAAAGACCAATAGGTCCCCCTGTGCCTGCCTAAGTGTGGGACTTATTTATGTAGAAATCTACTAAGCCGGTCACCCTGGGGCTTCACCAGAAGGTGATCAGCTTTGTGGTTTCCCTTCCAGTGGCTTTCAACGATGCCATGAAAAAACGTGATCAATTTAAATAAGAGGTCAGCTACCGAGGTAGTCAATTTCTCTGATTTCTCAAGGGCCCTGGCCCCAAGAGATTGGCTCAGTAGTTGCCACCACTTCAAGAATGTGCCTTCAGAAAGATGTTTTCCAGGAAGCCTGCAGGCCTGAGCACACACACACGGCAAGTAATCGGGTTTTCACCCCCAGGAAGGAGTCAGCATTGAGGCGGGATGTTGGTGCATTCTGCTGGTCTCTTGATGCACTCTCAGTGACGAATGGGAGCTGGTGAGGCCTCAGACACATTGTACTCACGTATGAATTTTTAAAGCTAGCACACATAGTAGTTGTGAGCATGAACTCTGATTCTCAGTTCTGCTATTTAGCAGCTGTGTGATCTTGGGGCAAGTCACTTAACCTCTCTGTTTTTGTCTTCTCATCGGTAAAATGAGTTTAGTAATAATAACCTTCCTCACAGGATTTTGGGTGTGGATGAAATGAGATAAACCATGTACAGTGCTTAGAAGGAAACAGAGTTTAGCACACGGCTCTCGTTAAATGTTACAGATATCCTATTACGATCATTATCGTAAATCACCAAGCAAGGTGCATACTGGAGAGAACACACTGAATTTGGAAGAAGCAAATACAGAGACTCGGAGACTGAAGAACACTGTAATAACAGTGTTTCTTAAGGTCTCAAATAGACACCACATCTAACCATTTTCACCAGAATAAAGGCAGTCCTTCTCCCAGTGGGGAAACCCTGGCCCCCAGAGAGACTGCCATGCCCCAGCATGGTTTTGCCAGCAAGCTGTAAGGGAAGGAAGGGGGAACGGGGGTCATGCCTGATCAAAGTCCAGTTTCTGGAATAATTCAACAAGCAGGAAATGGCAGAACA